GGGAAGACCGTCGGTCCAGCCGGCCTCATGAGCGAGGGCAAGGGCCTCTCCGTATTCGTCGATCTCAATGAGCACTGTTTCGCACTACCTCACTAATTCTCGCAGGTGAGGGTCGAAGACCCTCACGAATTCAAGGAGGCCGTCAACCATCCAAGACTGCATTTCCGGCCATGTTTCCTGCGGGCCGCCAAATTCGCCGTACCCCAGACGCGAGATGAGGCACCGCCGTCGGTTTGCGACATAATCCCATTCCAACTCACGCGAAATATCAGATTCGATCGTTTGACGGCGTTGCGATAGTGTATGGAACAACCATCGGTTCCAGTCGGATTGATTTCGGTCAATGACCAGCCTTACAGCGGGGTTCCGACCCTGTATGAAAGCAATTCGGTAAATGACACCGGAAGCGCCTGAACTGAACCCATGCCACCTTCCGCCGTCGCCTCGTTTGGAACTGGCGAGCCGGTGCTCAGCATGCAAAGTCGCGAGAGGAAGTTGGAAAAATTCATCGTACCGTCGCTCTTTTTCTGAAATGGCCATTATGACTTCTGAACTCCCATTGCGGTCCGCCGACTGTTACTCTCCGGCTGCTGCTCCGTCTTCGATCAGAACCTCGCCGCCGTCCCGCCAGTCTATTGTAAGACGGCTGCCGGCAAGCATATCGGTGCCGATGAGAGGCGCTGCCCCCGTCACGTCGACCCAGATGTCCACGGGTCTCTCATGCCAAAGCACGACCGCCTCACAAATTTCAGTCTCCCGGTCTTGCCCGTCGGCCAGAGTACCGTGACGGGTGTCCGTGGTTTCCAAGCCCAGTCTGTAGGCGGTGGCTTCGGGCGCCGTCAACCACCCGGTGTACCCGGTATCCACGATGGCTTCCACTGTCTGGAATATGCGTTGGTTGCCGGCCAAGGTGATATTCACCCACGCCTCCAGACCGGTATTGTCGGATCTGGACGGCCGCACGATACCTCTAATCACTGGGATATTCTCTCTGGGACATGATGGGGACCATACCGGAGCGTCCGGGTCTTTCGTAGTAGGGCGCGGGGTGACCAATCAACTCGGCCCACGTGTGGGCGCCCGGTTGCCGCTGGCGAAGCCGCCTGGTGATTTCCATGTCGCTGCGCCGGCTGACGAATTCCCCCACTTCGTAATCGCCGCTGTGGATGTCGATGACCACCAGTTTGCCCCAGTGGTTCGCCTCCAGATCCTTGCGGATACCCTCGTAGATCTTGCGCCCGGCGGCCGCGACGTTTGAACCCGTCAGTTCCATGGCCTTCGTTCCTCGAAACACATCAGCAAATCTTCCTGCTCAATTAACCGTTGATCGACCGGATCAACCACGAATGCCAGGTCTTCAAGGGTGGTAGCGCCCACCAAGTATCGACCCTCCGGCCCGAAAGCAACCCGCGCGACGGCGTTGCGCCCTTGAACGGAGAATCGAGCCCATGCGGTTTGCAGTTCAACCCGACGCCCGTCGGCGACGCGAGCGTACCTGATCTCCACCGGTTCGATCCCCAACTGCCGCAACAAGCCGGACGGCAGCATGGAGTTGGTGGCACCCGTGTCCACCAAAGCGGAAACCGTTGCCCCTTCCTCAGCAAAGAGGTTGCCGACCCATAGGTCCACACTGAACGTTCCCATGCAACTTGCCTTTCGTTGATCCGCACTGCGCCCAAAAGGGAACACTAATAAACCTTGTACTCTTCCAGCACCGCCGCATCCAGGTGCAGGCCCATGCCGGGTTCCTCCGGGGCGACGATCTCGCCGCGGTCCCACTCTGGGAGCACGGTGTTCAGCTGGTAGTAGACCGGGTCCCGTTCCTCCTCGAACACCTCTACGAACAGGCCCGTGAGCGTGGGCCGGCAGCAGTTGTACCGCCAGCTGCGGCTCCTCGTGGTGGGCCATCTGGATGCCACGCATCTGCGCGGCGCCGGCCACGCGCTTCCATTCCGAAATGCCGCCGCAGATCGCCGCGTCGATGTTCAGGATGTCCACGGCCTCGGTGTCCATCAGGCGCTGCCCGCCCCACGAGCTGCTCTCTCCCTGGCCGGCCGCCACCAGTATGCCGGTGCGCAGCCGCACCTGGCGCATGTCGTTGTCCGCGTTCTGCCAGCGGCAGGGCTCCTCCAGCCACGCCAGACCCATCTCCCGGGCCGGGCCGGCGAACTCCAGGGCCTCGTCCAGCGTCCAGGCTTGGTTGGCGTCGCACACGATGATGAAGTCGTCGCCGAGCGTGTCCCGTATCGCCCGCACGCGGAGCAGGTCGTCCGAGACCGCCACGCCGCCAACCTTCAGCTTCACGCCGCCGATGCCCCGCTCCCGCTGGTGCAGCAAATCCTCCACCATGTACGCCGTGTCACGTCCTTGAACGTAGTACGCGAACCGGACCACCGGAGACCGCTCGGCGTAGCCGCCCAGGAGGGTACGCACCGACACCCCCAGCGCCTTGCCGGTGATGTCCCATAGCGCAACGTCGATAGCCGCGATGGCCCGCATGGCGACGGCCTTGTTGCCGATGCGCGGCGTCAGCGCGAACATCCTCTGCCAGCACCTTTCGATGGCCATCGGGTCCTCGCCCTGGACGGCCTCGGCCATTGGCCCGACCACCAGGTCCTTCAGCAACTCATACCCCGTCCGCTCGTCCCCGGAATAGACCTCGCTGACCAGCCCCTCGTCGGTGTGGACCCGGGTCACGATGGTGCACCGCGATTCAATCTGGTACACGCTGCCGCTGAACCGCGTGCTCAATGGGATCCGAACGATGTCTGCCTCTACGTTGGTGATACGCATGAACGCGCCGCCTCCAATCCATCCAATCTGGCGCCAATTATACTCGCCGCCGGTCGCCCGTCAGCCGGGCCGCGGCTTCGCTGCGCCGTGCCCATGGGCTAGTATTGCCTCAAACTAGCATTA